TGTCATACTTTAAGCAATAAAACAAAATTTTAAAAAAAGAAGTAAAAGAGTTTTCTAGCTTAAAAAAAGCAACTGCAAGATAAAAATTTACCAATACTAAAAAGTAAAGTTCTTTACTTGGGATAACTATACACTGACTCAATGTCCCAAGCATAGATTTATCTATAAGGTCTGTAGCATACCTGGTAGATAAATATAATTTCATAGCATACCTGAAAGTCTCAGTTGAAGAGTTTTTTGCTTGACTCTCACAGCCAAGTATTGTGGGTAAAATCTTTTCTGGTATCTTATACATGTCATCTTTGTGCTTTGTATATTTGCCTACTTTAATTCTGGATGATCTCCTTAACACAGATGGAGGGTCCTGGTCAGAGCTATTTTCCACTGGATCTGAATTCCTCTTATTATTTAGTGGATCAGAAGAGATTACATTTTGATCAACCAATGTCTGCAGTACAAATGGATTTGGATCTTCTAGAGTCTGTAATAAAATATAAATAAATACATATTCAAATAATTATAATGATACAAAAATATTAAAACTAGGAGAAATAAGTTTTATCTTGTCCTTTGAGTACATAAAAATGCCTCTTACAAGTTGAAAGTATAAAAACCCAGACATATGTGAATATAATAAAAATGTATGTAATCCTATATAATAAAAGAGAAACATGCAAATTTTTAACCATCCCTCTGCTATGCTCAAGCCACGCCCACAAGCCAATCAGGAGTGAGTAGGCAAATTAACCCAACTAAGATGACGGCAGCCACGGAGCTGGAGTGAGCAGGAGGCTTGGGTTGCCCCCGGTGATGGAGGAAGCAAAGCTTCACACCTGCCCTGGCCGGCCCTTGGCTCCACTCAAGGCTACAAAGTTTCAATTATAGAAGATAAATAAATCCCAGATACCTGCTTCCAGACTGCTGTGGCCTTCACTCAAGGAAGGGCTGGGAACTTGGGTTGCTGGGGGGTGTGGCCAGCCTAAAAATGGCCATCAGCCCCTCACCCAGGCTGGCCAGGCACCTAAGCGGGACCCCCCCACCCTGATCCAGGACACCCTTCAGGGCAAAACAGCCGGCCCCCACCCATGTACCAGGCCTCTATCCTATATAGTAAAAGGGTAATATGCCTCTCAGCACTGGGATCAGCGGAGCTGTGAGGCCTCCTGGCACTGGGATCAGCGAAGCCGTGAGGCCTCCCAGCACCGGGATCAGTGGGGCAGCGAGGCCTCACTGCCCTGGTGTCAAGGGGAGCTGCGAGGCCTCCCCAGCACTGGGATCAGCAGAGCCGCGAGGCCTCCTGGCCCCTGGAGCAGTGTGACAGGGGGCAGTGCCCAAACCCCCTGATCATCCTGCGGCTCTGTGTGTGACAGGGGGCAGGGCCACAACCTCCCTATCCACTCTGCTCTGTTCGTGACAGGAGAAGGCACCCCAACCCCCTAATCGGCCCTGCTCTGTGCCTGATAGAGGGGAGCTCCCCAACCCCCTGATCGGCCCTGCTCTGCGCGTGC